TTATTTTGTTCATCATCTTCCTTTACAAATGCTACTTTAATGCTACTTCAAAAGCCCGGAAAAGTTTGCCACCATCTCCAGCGAAACTTCCAGTAATTGGAAATCTTCACCAACTCGGCTTATTCCCTCATCGCTCACTAAAAGAACTATCCGAACGCTGTGGTCCACTCATGATGCTTCATTTTGGCAGCGTACCAGCACTGATAGTCTCCTCTGCTGATGCAGTTCGAGAGATAGTGAAAAACCAGGACCTGATTTTCTCTCACAGGCCGAAATCAAGCATTATGCATAAAATTGTTTACGGCTCTAAGGACATAGCTTTTGCTCGTTATGGTGATCACTGGAGGCACGTTAGAAGTATAGCGGTGCTTCAGCTTTTGAGCAGCAAAAGGGTTCAATCTTATCGTCAAATAAGAGAAGAAGAAACGTCACTTATGATTGAGAAAATTAGAAATTTATCCTCTTCTTCGACGTCTTTTATAAACTTGAGCAAAGTATTGGTGTCGCTTACTAATGATATTATAAGTAGAGTGGTCTTGGGGGGGAAATATAGTGGTGGAGAAGAAACTGAGAACTTCGAGTTGATGTTGAAGGAAATTGGGGAGTTATTGGTTGCTTTTAACCCGGGGGATTACGTTCCATGGCTTAAGTGGATTAATCGTGTCAATGGTTTGAATGCCAGACTGGAGAAAGTGGCTAAATCATTTGATGAATTTTTGACGCGTGTAGTTGGAGAGCACATAAGTCTAAAGCAAGGAAAGACAGACCGTGATGGGAGCAGCAATGAAGTAGATTTTGTGGACATATTGCTCGAAATTCAGAGGGAGAACAGTTCTAGTTCACCTATTGAAACTGATACCATTAAAGCTCTCATTTTTGTAAGAATCCCTTTTTCTCTCTCTAAGTATTAACATATTCATATGACATGTTGCAGACAATATTCAAAACATTATAAGATTTCATCGAAGAATCAATTTGATTAGAGTCTAATCCTTTTCCTTATGACAGGATATGTTTGGTGCGGGTACTGATACAACATATACAGTTCTAGAGTGGACAATGGCAGAACTTTTAAGGCACCCGAAAATCATGGAGAGACTGCAAAGCGAGGTGAGATTAGTAGCCGGAAGTAAATTAGAGATAACAGAGGAAAATTTAGACCAAATGCCCTATTTAAAGGCTGTGATCAAAGAGAGCCTAAGATTACATCCTCCACTTCCATTACTGCTCCCTCGAGAATTAACTCAAGATACTACATTAATGGGATATGAAGTTGCAGCAGGAACCAGAGTTATGATCAATGCTTGGGCAATCGGGAGAGATCCAATGACGTGGGAAAACCCTGAAACATTTCATCCAGAGAGGTTTCTTAATATGGGAATTGACTTCAAAGGGCTCAATTTTGAGTTTATACCATTTGGTGTCGGTCGTAGAGGCTGCCCTGGAATATCATTTGCCATAGGTGTTGATGAACTTGCATTGGCAAAATTGATGCAAACATTCAACTTTGCAGCTCAAAAAGATTTGGACATGACTGAAGCTCCTGGAACCACTGTCCATATAAAGTTTCCTCTTCTTGTGACCCCAATCCCCCATCTTGCTAGTAACTAACTGCTATCCCTCTCTCTATAATTTTCTGTCATGGTCGCAATAAAAAAGCTAGTTTATCTTGTTTTGAATATAATACACATCTATCTATTTGTTTCATCGAATTTGTCGTTCTATGGTGGCGTCCTAGGTTTCAAGAAAGAGCAATTACAATTAACAAATCTTTCTTTATATAAGTGTTAATCATTCACAAGTGCATCAGAAATCAATCAGTCAACTCTCAACAAGGAATTGGTGTTGGTCGTGGTGGTAGTCGTTGACGGTGGGCGTGGCATGGCCTGGCAGATTTCTGGTTTTGGGTTGAGGAGTTGGGCTTGTGTGTGGGGGTGGGGTGAGGGAGAAGAATATACGTTTTTCTTTTGAGGAAATTACACCTAAGCATGAATTTAAAATACCATTTTCAAAAATCATGAATCAAGATTCATACTACAAAAATCAAGTTTTAATTAATAATTCAAAAACAATTTTTATTTTTATTTTT